TTATAAAATTGTCTTTTCAGAACCCCCCCGCCTTTAAGATAGGGTATCACTCTAGCCCAGGTTGGCCCCATACTCATGGCAATCCTGCCTCAGCCTCTCTTGTGCTAGGATTATGGTGTATGGCAACATGCCAGCTCTGGGTACAGAATTCCCAGGTGACATTTTTCTTTCTCTCTAATGATCCACTTCCTCTGGCCTCCATGATCTCTATGAAGAAGAATACACCATCGTTCAAACTGTTAGTGCAACATGTGGGTTTTCTTTGAGCGCTTCATACCATCTTGGTTCTGGGCAGTTCGAGGATGATGGGCTCAGATGGGTATTTGTGAGAGACAAGGTCTCACAAATGTGGCCTCAAACTCAAATCCTCCTGCCTCTGTCTCCCTAGTGCTAGGCTCGAAGGTGCTCACTTCATTCCTTTGGGTTTATCCCATATGGTGTTGACTCAACTTCTTGACTCTTTTGAGTTTGATATCTTTCATCAGATTGGGAGTTTCCAGCCATTGTTCATTCCAATCTTCATTGTTTATCTTTCTCATCTCCCGAGCTATGGGTCCTCATGAAACGCTGCTCTTCCTTGTCTTTCTGTTGTTCAGACTGATGATTCTTCCGTCTCCATTCAGCCATTGGGTCTATCCAGCTGTGCTCTCTCTGTTTTGATATTCTCACTTAGAGTTTGTGTTTTAAGATACAGTCTTGCTCTGTAACCCTGACTGAGCCGGGACTCCCTGTGCAGCTCAGGATGACTTCAAACTTGCAACAAGTCTCCTGCCTCTGCCTCCCCAATTCTGGGATTAAGATGTACACCAACACATTTGCCCAGTCACTTCCTTTTGTCATCCTCGTTCAGAGTCTAATCTTTGAGAGGGTTTGGAATGCTCATTAGAGCTCCTTCAATGTTTGTGTCAATGTCTGCTGTCTTCCCTCTCCCCAGTTCAGATGCTGAGGGACATGGCCTTGTCGCCACACTGTGGCTGTCATGTTTAACCTTGTGGAGTTGACCGTGTTTGAACCCACCTTCCGTCAGTATGATCCCAACTCAGCATCAAATCCTAAAGCCCTGGCTGTGCTGTCTGGACCTGCGCCACCTGTGACCCAGAGGCCCCCTGCTGGTTCAGTTTCCTTTGGTGTGCTAGTTAGGCCCAGTGTGGACCCTGTAAGCAGTGAGCAGTGGGCCACCCGGCCAGTGTTTCAGCACTCTGAAGTGAATGTGGTGCTCAGGCTTAGGAGCCATGGTGGGAACTTTCCTGAATACAATTTTGTTCCTGTTGAAGAAATCCAGAATGCTGGGTATACCGCGGGAATGAGGGCTGACAAACCCCAGCTGCCATCCTGTGGGCCACCCCCCAGCTCCCACTGCCTAAAGACCCTCACTAAAAGTCCATAAAGTTAAAAAATGCCCAGAGGTGACCGACAACTGCTTCTTGTGGAGATTTTTTAAATCTTCAGGTAATTTCAATTATTTAAAATTCTTGTGAATAAAAGAATTCCCCCGGGTCTCCAGATTTTCATACAAGAGGTACTAAGAATCAATCACAGATGACTACATTCCCGTGACACCTTCCATGGTGCTGACTTTGGTGCCTTAGAAAGCCTGGCTGTAGACCAGCTGGTCCTCACGTGGTCATATTTGAGATGCGCTGCAGGGATGTATCCCAAGAGCTGAACAGCCACCTCATGATATGGCGATCATATCTGATGTAACTGTCTTGTACGAGTCTAAATAAAGAAAAAGAGGGAAGAGGTTCATAAAGACATACAAATGATGGGTGGACCAGTATATTAGATACCTTAATATGCCACTAACTCACCTCCTTATAGAAGCTAATATCAAAAAATAGGTAAGTTGCTGCCAATCTAAAGCCTACCTATTTTGAAGACTGGAAATGTAACTCAATTGGCAGAGTAGCCACCTAACATGCATAAAGCCCTGGGTTCTTACCTCCCCAGAACCACATTAACTAGGTGTGATGATATATACCTGTAATCCCAGCAGTTGAGAGGTAGAGACAAGAAGAGCCGAAAGTTCAAGGCCATCCTTGGCTATTTATTTCCAAAGCCAGTCTGGGCTACATGAGACCCTGTCTTTAAAAAGAAGAAAAATAACCGGGCATGGTAGTGGATGCCCTTGGGAGGCAGAAGTAGTTGGATACATAGTGAGTTCCAGGATAATCAGGGCTATATAGAGATGCTTCAAATTCAGATGCAGGTCATGACCAGGTCATGTTTAAAGGATTGCATTTATACCAGCCACAGAGTATACAGCAAAGACCTTACCTGGGCCAGGCGACTGCAGAATTGGCCATGGCATAGCATTAGTTTATTCATAAAGTAGACCACACAGCTATCCCGTTTTTCTTGAGCAGTGAACTTACCTGGAAAGCAAGCCTCACCTTCCACCTGTGCTGGGCCTTTCCCACTCTTCGCCGATGCTACTTCTGGCGTCCTAAGTGTCAGGAAGTCTCATTCCGTTTACAAAGTTTTCTGAAGACACCTTTAACTGGAAAGTTGTGCCGAATCCTCTTTGGTTGCTGCTTCGTTTCTTGCCATGTGGGGGACCCCAGTGCCTCCCACATGCCAGGCAAGTGCCCTGTCACTGAGTGACAGTCCCAGCATGGTAGAGTCCTTTCGGAAATGAAGCCTTCAACAACAGCCCATGTGCTCGCTCTCCTTCCTTACAATTTAGTCCAGTTATTGTGACCCGAGCAGACACACCTTTGAATTAGCAGCCAACCTTCAATGAAACTCAGCTACAAAGATGTTGCAATAGGAACTGCCAGGAACATGGGCTGCTGCCCTGTGAGCAGGTAAGACCACCCACAATGCCTTCAATGAACTCAAAAATGTATAAACATGTTAGAAATTCCATGGGGGTAGAACAGATGAGCAGACACATAACCAACGCCCAGTATGCAGATATCTGCTAAACATACAGTTTAAGAATACATTTCTATTTCTTCTCATTCTCGTCACTCTGGCAGAGCTGGGCATTCTTGCTTCAATATTCTATCATTAATTTTAAGGTAAAGTAGAACAAAAAAAAATCAAAAACACTTATGGAAAATTTTTTTAATTAAGACCTTAAAATCAAATTTTTTAAAAAGACTTGTATATCATTTATTTTAAATATGATTATATTCCCAAACATTTTCAAACATTTCCCGCATGGAAGCTAATTTTAAATTATCTCACTGTCTTGTAACTTGTCCTATATTAGCTCCTATGATAGAAAAAAGCTGATCAATTTGTTAAAAATTTCATAGGCTCAAAAGGTAATCACCATCTTTTGAAAATGAGGAAAATTGAAGCCTAAACATTAGGGATGCGGGTGTGGGAGTCACAGCTAATCCATACTGACTCATTTGTGGTGTATGAACATTAAATATTCTCCAAAGTCCTGATCATTTGTGCTCTGTGTAAAAAGAAGGTGGCAAAGACACCAACATGGCCTTTCAGCACACCTCAGCCTGAACTTCTGCACACGCGCAGAAGGATGCAAGTGTGTCTCCTACACAAGTCTGAAGGCCAGGGTAGGGGTCCAGTGTCCTCCCCACCTGTCTTTCTGAGATTGTCAGGTGCAACTTAATAATGTAGGGCTGAGTGGAGAACACAGGCCTTCAAGGCACAGCTTTACAAAGAGTAATTCTCGACAAACTGGGCCACTGTCCCAATCACCCTGATTATGTGACATTTGGGGACCATATGGTTAACAGAGTCTCTAGCAAGGTTGTATTTAGACAACATGTAGAACTTACTCTTTAATTAAATATACACCTCAGTGGGAGGGCTCTGTACACAAGGGACTATACAAAACTAGGCAAATATTTTTAAAGTTTTTTAAAACACTCATGATTCTTCAGTATGCATTTTCAAAGCCTCATGGTTTTAAGATGACATGGTGTGATAATTTTATATGGAATGAAATCAGTTTGTGTTCTAGAAATTATCATACTCAAAAACACAAAGTAAAAATATCATGGAAATGCTCAGCCACACGCCCAGCACTCAGTTTTACCCAACAAACTCAGATGCTGAGTGGGTGCCTGCAGAAGGTCTCCCTGTCTCTCAGGAAGAACACAGTGCCCATCTTCTGAGTGTCTCTCTTTTTTTTTTTAACCCTGACAGTGGTTCCCTACTAAAAGAAGAACATTTACAGCCAGGCCAGCACACACCCCGTTCTCCCACAATTCAGCAGCACAGACCACCAGGCGGGACATCACTTAGTCACATTTTCGACCTATACTATCAGCACTGTGCATCATGAAGCCTTCATTAAGTTCTAGAGAAAGAGAAGCAGAATGGAGGCGGTGACGCTTAATGGCGTCTGCTGGTCCCATCCCCACAGGCCAAACAAACTCGGTTCATTAAACATCATTTCAGATTACAAATTCTCAGTATCACCATCAGCTATCTCTGAAGAGGGGAGGTGGCGGGACAGACTTCACAAGCAGCTGATGATCCCATGTGTGCTCTAAAAGGGAATACTGCAGTTAAAAGAATGTGACACTGACTCAAAAGAAATGTCATCATTGCTCTAAACATGCACCGCACGTCACTCACTGGAATGTACTAGAACTATTAAGTTATATATTAAATAAATGTCTAAGTGATGATGTAAGGAGGAAAGGTGACCCCGGCTCTGGCCAGAAAATTCTTAAATACCATAGTCTACACGGAGGTGGGGTGATGGGGGTGTAATATCAAGTGTCATTGTGAGGCAGCAGAGTTCTCGTTCGTCGGGAACAGCGCTGATCTCACGCTGATGCCCTCACTTTCCTTGATGCCCCTGCAAGGCAAACTGCACAGGTGTGGTGCCTGGGAGTCCTGCACTGCCGGACAGGATGCCCCTGCCAGCTGTGGAATGCGGTGTTGATGGAAAAGGACAGCTCCAACTGTCCTACAGGAGGGTGTGGAGGGGAAGCGCCTGGAGCCAGTTAAAGGCATTTGGTGTGGGTATCTCCAAAGATTAAAATCTTGAAAATAAAACTCTTACAAGAATATCAAGACTTGGGGACTTGTCTTCATAAACAAGCCAACAGCTATGGCTTCAATGGTCTGCCCTAACTACTCAGGCAGGTGACCAACCATCATGAAAGCAAAACATCTCTTGAAAATTCCTAAGAGGAGCCTTGCAGGACCAGTCCGTTTCTTCCACCTGTGCGTGGTCCCATCTGATAGTTTTTGTTTTCTTTGTCTTTCACAAACACTTGAAAGAGGATGTCCCAACATCTACGCCCTTGCCGAGTAGCATCGCATGTACTCTGTCAGCCACGGGTTCTCTGCGGAAGTTGGCTTTACCCTCCGGTCCTTTTCCACATCCACGGAGTGAGCCCGCTGCCTCTGGGCAGCCTGTTTCCTTTTCTCCACCTGTCTTCTGTTCTTGGCACGAAGTGCTGATTCATGGATCTAAGGAAAGTTCAAAAATAAAGGTAGTAGCCTAAGTTGCTTAAGGGCCAATTTTTAACAATATCTAACTAAAAGCCTGGGGATAGCTTAGTGCAGCCTAATACAGATGAAGCTCTGGGTTCCATACCCAGGGGTGGTGGCATACATCTGTTACCCCAGCACTTGGGAGATAGAAGCATGAGGATCATAAGTTCAAAGCCATCCTTGGCTACATAGAAAGCTCAAAGCCAGCCTGGGATACATGAGACCCTGTCTTAGGTTACTTAGCCTGATTCCTTGAAGGAAGGAATCAAGCCCTCCCAATCTATGGCATCAACGCTTCCCAGAATAGGCTATCCTGTCACCACAATTCACCCCGTTACCAATGATGGCAAAGCTGAGCACAGAAAAGTTTTAGGGCTGGAAAGATGGCTCAGAGGCAAGAACAGGTATTGCTCTTGCAAAGGACCTAAGTTCAATTCCCAGAACCCAAGCTGGGTGTCTCACAACTGTCTGTAACTCTAGTTCCAAGGGGATCTGATGCCACTGGCCTCCAAGAGCACTAGCACTCACACAGGCCCACACACATACACATAACTAAAAATAATAAATATTTTTTAAAAATAAAAGTTTAGATATAAATGGCAAGCAGCTAACTTTCATGCAATCTAAGACCAGCCTGGGAAAACTTGTTTTGCTTTTTTTGAGACAGGATCTTGCTATGTAGCTGTTTGGCCTGGAACTCACTACATAGATCAGACTGGCTATAAACTTCCAGGGATCCTCCTGTCTCTGTCTCCCAAGGACTGAGATTATAGGTGGGAACTCTTCCACAGTGAGCATGTAAGTTCTTGATAATGCTTTAAAACACTGCACTAAAAAGTGTGGAGGACAGCCAGGGGCAGGCGTACAAACAAGCCTGTAATCCCAGAATTTGGTAGTTAGAGGTATGAAGATCAGAGGTTCAAGGTCATCCTCAGCTAGGTAGTGAGTTTCAGGCCTGTGGCTATATGAGATCCTGTCTCAAAATATAATAATAAAACAAAAAAAATGTCAGGGGAGTTTATCCTGTGATAGATACACACACTGTTCAATCAGTCCCAGAGACTGATCAGAATCCCCTGCTAACCACAGCTCCCTTGTCTCAGATTTCACTTCAGATAAACAGCATCTGCCACCTTGACTACGCTGGGAACTTGCCTGGCATTACAGGGAAACTGAGTGTGCACTTTCTCTTCCTGCCTGCTCTCCGGGCATCCCTGGCACTCAGCTGGTGCTAACACAGTAACTGTTTCATGATGGACCGACCATACCCTCTCTGTCCTCCTGTCTAAAATATCTCAGGTCTTGAAAGAATGCCAAACCAAGGCTGAGTCAGGATGACTGGAGCTGCTGGGAACAAAACACTAGTGCATACAAGTAGGGGAGCAGCAAGCCGAATTTCATCAGGAGGGAAAACAGAGGTCCCCAGGAGATGTCAAGTCATCAGACATGCAGAGGAGAAAGCCTTGGTCACAGACCCAGGTTAGCAAAGCTGAGGTTGACTGAGACCTCTCCAGGGAGATAGCTCCAGCTCCCAATGTACTTTCCCCCTGTGGCCCGGGCCACAGAACTCAACCACATGACATCTGCCTCTTCTCCTGGCTGGAGCCCCAGTCCACCAAAGTCTACTCCATCTTCCTAGTGACCAGAGGCCCCTTCCTTTGACTTCCATGGACCCCACACCACCCAAGGACCTCCCATGGCCCAGAGCATCGACAGCCACCGGAGCAATGCCCTGTGGCAGGCAGCACGTGGCTGGACTTGCCCTTCGGAGGCACACCTCATGCACAGAGGCCGATGCACAGACATTGTGCGTCTTCTGGCTCCCTGTGTCCATCTGTTTCTCTCCCCAGCCGTAAAGAGCGAATGGGTGCTTGTTCTCTTTTATTTTGCTCGTTGATCTTTGGGGGCTCCTGGTTGCTTTCTTACTTGCTCTGGCAAATAAGGCACTAGGCTGTTGTCGAGGTTCGGGACCAACGGGCGACCTGTGAGTCTCTTTTGTCCTGGTCTGTTGCTCAGGTTTTTCTTCTGTGTCTTCTTTCGGTGGTGCTTTGGAAAAAAGGGATGAGACAAGATGGGAATCCTTTAAATCAAGTTTATATATAATTGCTTAATTTAAGCTGAAAAACAATAAAGCTTCATCAAGTCAGTTACATGTTTACTACGGCTAAACTCAACAGGTTGTACTGAAAGCAAGGTATGGAAACAAGCTTGTAGAATAACTGTCATTTACCCCATTTAAAAAACTGACAACAAGGGCTGGAGAGATGGCTCAGTGGTTAAGAGCACTGGCTGTTCTTCCAGAGGTCCTGAGTTCAATTCCCAGCAACCACATGGTGGCTCACAACCATCTATAATGGGATCTGGTGCCCTCTTCTGGTGTGTGTATACATAATAAATAGATATATCTATCTATCTATCTAGATAGATAGATAGATAGATAGATAGATAGATAGATAGATAGATAGATAGATAGATAGATAGTGACAACAAAGGTACCAACATTAAATCAAAACAATTCCAAAGCAACCTTGACGGCCATCTTCAGGATTCATCATTGCGATGACAAAGTAATGGACACACCCTGGAGCTCCCTCCACAAGCCCCAGACTGTGTGCTCCCCTCTCTGTATGCTTCCTCTGGGGGACAGACCAGGCTCTCTTCACCAGGCAGCTGCTCAAGGTTAGGCTCTAAGTCACTCGCTGGAGTTCCAGGATTCTGCTTCCTTTTTGATGTACATTGATAGAAAACTTCCTCACCTGTGCCTCCAAAGAGGTGGCTGTCCACCTGAGTCTAAGGGCACTTGTCACAACAGGATGGCGTCACCACAACCACTCACCTGCGTGTAGCCCTTTACAGCATCCCCAGTGCAAAAAGCAAGAGATGTTGGAACAGAAGTGACTTCCTGAGTCAGGGCCACCCACAGTGCTGTGATTGACTATGTAGTGTCCTCACAGGCTCATGAATCTGAACAATTCCAGCTGGTGGTGCTGTCTTAGGAGGTTGTAGACTCTCCGGGAAATGGAGTCTCAGTGGAGGAGGTGAGTCACTACAGGATGAGTGTGTCTGAACCATCGAGATGTAAGCAAGCGGCCTCACCTTCAAGCTGCCATGGACTCTGACCCAGCTTCCCCATCACCATAAATCATACCCTCTCCAAGCACAGTCAGAAGAAACCTTTCCACCCTCCAGCTGTTTCTGATCAGGGATTTGGTCACGGTGATGAGAAAAGTAACTAACACGTACGGTGTGGGGGGCCTGGGGAAATAGAGGAAAATGGCAGGGATGTGGTTGCCCAACCTGGGGCGAGTATCAGGTATGAAAGAACGCTCCAGAATGGCTCTAATTTCCCTTACCCACCTTTAGCGATTTTGACATTTTTAACACACATACACACACCCTTATAAGACTTGATTTTTTGCATAAATCCTTCCTGAGCCTGTTTCCTTCCCACCTACACACACACCAGAATATGAGCTCTGTGTGAGTCACCCGCTGCTCAGGCATGGCGTCGCCTCCTCCATCAGCTGCTGCAGAACTTGGCTCTTCATGACAACTATACAGACTGCTGTAACAAAGCTGGGTCCCCCCAGAGGACAGACCCTCAGCCCTGCTGCCCTTGGCTGGGCAGCAGTTTCATGTTCCTCTACGGGAGAGTGTACCCGATGTGGGCAATCCAGACTGGGCATGCCTGACGGCAGGAAACCTTTACTTCCGCCTTAGCTCTGACAACCCATTCATTCTTACTGCGCATCCTGAGTATCAGGTGACACAAGGCAAGCCCGGGGTCTCACATCTACATCCTACACCAGGCTGTAACCCCAGCAGTGGAGCGAGCTTCACGGGGTGAAGGGACACCAGATTCCACTTCATCCCAGGAACTTAAGTCCGCGTACTGCCCAAGTACCTTTCTGCATGTTGTACCCATACCCTTCCTCACCTGAGTGTAGGATGTGGGAAAGAGGGAACCTCGAAGTCAAAGCAAAGAGAAAAAATAGCATAGGGCAGGACCTACGTAGATCAAATATAGAGAATGAGGAACTGTGTAGTGACCTGAGTTTTGGGTCCCTTCTCCTCCTCCTCTCCTCCAGATCTCCCGGGGCAGCTTGCCCAGAGAGGACAATAATGCCCTCCTGTGAGGAAAAAGCTGATGCTGGCCAGGAAGAGCCCTGAAGAAGGAATGTGCATTGCAAGGGAAGAGGGAATAATCAACAGCTCTAAGGACATGTGCACGCGCAGTCGCCAACCACAGGCTGGGAGCAGGTGGCACAGAAGAAATAAAGCCTCTCTGTGCCAAACTTGGATTGGAGGTGGGAGTGATTACACCTTAGAAATCATGGGGAGTCGGGGAAGGATTTTAAGCTTAGAAATGATGTAGTGCCGTCTATATTTTAGGATGATTTGGATAAAAGAATAGGGCCAAGTGCCTGCCAGGAAAAGCTGATAACAGACCAGGGTAAACAGACACCCTGGCACCATGCTGGCCTGGGGGTGGGGCAGGAGAGCCTGATTGGTCTCCATAGATGCTCTAAGCAGATGGTCCTCCTAACCATGGACCCACGGTGTCCCAGGCATGAAGGAAGGAACTGTACAGGATGGAACAACCAGGCAGGCTGCTAGTAGACAGCCACAGGCACCTTGAGAGAGAAGAAGAAGCTGGGGGCCAGGCTCTGAGTGCACAGGACTGCCCGGGAGAAATGTGGAGCAGGAGACCAACAGGGCACAGGCGGATCCCTGGGACACTTACTTAATGAGCCGACAGAGAAAGAACCCAGAGTAGGCCAAAGGAGGGATGTCTAGAAAAGTAAAAAGAAACCAGAAGGAAACCTATGAAATGCCACGGTCCACACAAAAGCCAGTGTGATGATGGACTGAGACCTACAACTCATCAGTGAGGCTCTGGTGGGTGCAGGAGGGACGTGAGGGTCAGGATCAAGCCAAGCCACAGAGAAGTAGAGACTGCTCCACCGAGCTACTGGATCAACTTCCGTACCGCAGGGACCCACAACAGCTCAGTGGAGAAGTACAAAAGTCACTGCCCACAGGACCCCAGCGTCCAAATGACTCCTACAAATAATTTCACACAATTACCAGAGTGTCACAGAAGATAGCCCAGCACCCAAGGAAAGATACGAACGATGCTGAGACAACCAGCTGGAGCAATAGACTTAAGATACTTAAATTATCATCTACAGACTGTGAAATAATGGTGCTTACACTCTGTGCTTCAGAAAAAAAAGATAATGCTTGAAAATTATTCCCAGCAGGAGACCAAAGATGGACAGAACAGAAGAAAAGAGATAGACTGTAATTGCTGTAATTTAATATTTATAAAACTCTCAAAATAGTGCCTGGTACATGGTAATTAGATATAAGTATATGCTTTTACGATCCTATTTGAAAGAATGATGTTCAAAATAAGGATATTTACAGGCAAACAAAAACAGTATTTCCCACAAGATTCAGAGGAAGACTAACATTTTTCTCATCAACCGAGAGAACATTCAAATTCAAATAAATCCAGTCTTTAGGATGGAGCTGCCCAATCCAATGGCCTTTAGCCACATGTGGCTATTAAAAATAAATTCAAGTAAATTAAAAGGAAACAAAATGAGAGGACTGTGCACCTGCCAGACATGTCACAGGTCAACCATTCAGTGACACCACAGTGGAGACCATAGAAAATGCATTTACTACCGCAGAGCTGTTCTGAAGAGTTCTGTTGAAAAGAAAAAAAAAAGCAGAACAACAAATGACCCAGTGGGGGACAAACCCCAGGTAACTGGAGATGGTGCGTTCCCATCAAGCGGACGAGGAATACATACAGCATTTCATAGCCACAGATCCCCATGAAAGGGAATCTTCACACATACACAAAACTGGACTTCCATAAACTGAAAATTTACAGAACATAGTCTCTCAACCATTAGCAAAATGAAGCTAATACATCAAAAAAATAACTTTCAAATCTCTTTCATTTTTGAGCCCAATGTGGCAGCTAACACTCGTAACCCCAGTACTAGGCAGACCGAGACAGGAGGATTACTATAAATTTGAGATCAGTCTGGTCTACACAATGACTTCCAGGTCAGCTTGGTACATGATAATTACATATAAGTACAAGCTTTTAAGATCCTATTTGAACAAAGGATGTTGTTAGCAGAGTGAAGTCCAGTCTCAAAACAACAATTTCCATTTTTGAAATTTAGAAACACGTCTAGGGGCTGAAGAAATGACTCAGTGGATAAGAGTACTTGCTGTGTGAGCCTCGGGACCTGAGTTCAGATCCTAGAACACATGTAAAAAGTCAAGTGTAACACTGTGCATCTGTAACTCAGCACGGGGGGTAGGGGTGGGGTGGGGGCGGGGCAGAAAAAGGACCGTTGCAACTCACTGGCCATCAGTCTAGCTCCAAGTTCAGTGGGGAATCCTGTCTCAAGGGAATAAGGTAGACAGTGGCGAGGCAGGACACTTGACATCCTCCTCTGGCTTATACACGTGCGCGCACACACACATACACACACACACACACATATACACACACACACATACACACACACAGAGAGAGAGAGAGAGAGAGAGAGAGAGAGAGAGAGAGCATACTTAATTAAACAACTATGAGTCAAAACCAAAACATACAGTTGTTAAAACACACGAAGTACTTAATGCCAGGAACCGTGCATTTTAAGAAGGTTAAAACGGTAAACTTCGTGTTCTATATGTTTTACCACAAGTTAAAGTTTCTATTGTAATCACACTTGGGAGATGGAAGCAGAGCAATTAAGTTAAGGTCACCTCAGCTGTATACTAAATCTGAGGTCAGCCTGGGTTATGAGATAGCAAGGGCCCATAATCCCCAGGAGGTTGATAGAGGACTTCTAGTTCAAGGTCAGCTTGGCTATGTAGCAAGATCCTCTCTTAAAAACAAAACCAGTGCATGGCAGCTTAAATACCAGCACTTGGAGGCAGAGGCAGGAAGATTTCTGTGAGTGCAAGGCCAGCCTGGTCTACATAGTGAGACAGACCTATCTGACAGGGTCTGTATCCTA